AATGGATTTTTACCAAAACCTAATCAAATCTGCACATTGGCCCAGAGCATCCATGCACCAAGTTTCATCAAAAACTGAGGTATGGTTCTTGAGATATCAGTGGAACAGGCGGGGACACACACACATACAGACACACTAACTGCAAAGACTCTCTTTTTGTGCTTTGAAGTAAAAAATGAGCAGATGCAATTTGAAACGAACAAATCTGAGAAAGGGCCACATGGTAGTACATATATATGCAATATCAAAGCAATCAGAAGTCGAAAATACTTTTTTTTTTATACATATGTATGCAAGATGTAAGAAGCATCATGGTTTAGGCATGATATTATCATCACAAAATGAACAAATCTGAAAGAAAAACACCCAAGACACCATCCAGGATCAAAACCACTTTGTTGTAAATTGGTATTAGATGAAGATGTAAATTTGATGCCAACTGATGAAGACATAAAATGAATAGCTCTGTCAAACCTTTGTCGACAGCAGAGCTAAAAAGTTACAGTCAGTTGCCATTAATGAAGTCGGTGTTAGGAAAAGCAGCCAATTCAAATGCAGTTTAAGAATATTATAGTTATGATTGTAATTCCATATTCATATCAGAGTTTCAGAAAATTTGTGTCATGTGTTAGATTTTCAAAATTCAAGTATCGTCAATATTCTTTGATGGAATAGATATGTCTGTTTTTCAGCACCATTTTTCATCCACATGGTAATTTGGTTTCCATGCAAACTCTTAGACTTAACACTTAAAAAAAATCTTATTTGATTACCTCAGCAGAGAATCCCTCAACTAAGATTGCTACGAGTAGATTGAACAAAACATAATTTCCAAATGTCATCAATGCTATGAAGTAAAGAGCAGCCCAAGGCGAGTTCTTTGACATTCCATTGTACAACACAACATTCCAGTCTTCTTGTGTTAAAATCTATAAAAGAAAATAAACAAGTCGTGAACATATAAGATAAACTACATGTACCAATCGAATTTTACAGTAAACAGGTGACCGAATGTGCAATACTCAGCTTTGTGTGCCTATTTTGGGTTTTTAACTTTCAGTCAGCGTGGTTTATTCATAGATATATTATTTTTATACAAATGTCTTAACAGCTTATACAACTCATCAAGTGGTTTATCAGCGTGAAATTTTTATGTCCCAAATCATAGTTTACGTTTTACCCCTCTGTTTTGTCTAGCGCACTGTCGTAATGATATTTTTAAATATTCTCCACTTGTGAGATGCATAACTAGTTTCAACAGTTTATTGCAGAATGGTTCAGGACTTGATATTTTAAGTAATTTGAGCCGTTTTAAATCTAAGGTACATCAGTTAATTATTTAAAGATAAATTCAGATATTTCAAATGTATATGTTTTTTATTGTATTTTGCTGTATGTGCGAGTGAAGAACCTGCTTTCTCTTGTCCTGCAGTTACATGATGTGCAATACAGCATTGCTTTCTCTTGTCCTGCAGTGACATGATGTGCAATACAGCATTGCTTTCTCTTGTCCTGCAGTGACATGATGTGCAATGCAGCTTTGCTTTCTCTTGCACTGCAGTGACATGATGTGGAATACAGCATTGCTTTCTCTTGTCCTGCAGTGTTATGATGTGGAATACAGCATTGCTTTCTCTTGTCCTGCAGTGTTATGATGTGCAATACAGCATTGCTTTCTCTTGTCCTGCAGTGACATGATGTGCAATGCA